AAACTTTCATCGTTGAAATTTTTGACGATTCCGTAGCTTTTAAATTAGGGAGCAGAATAAAGTTGAAGCTTTCAAAAATCGGTCATCTGTTTGCTATGTGTCATATTTTACAAATTGTTTTTTGGTTGTCCACGTTTTTTGTATTTACACCATTCAGAGGTCTAAATGGGAAAAGCTGATGGCGTTGAAATAATGCCCCGATTTAAACTACCAACTGTTAGTAGCAAAAAAATTTTGAAAAACACAACATAGATGGTAATCACCAACACAAAAATTCTGTTTTTCAACTGATATTCAATTTATTCTATTGCATTCCTGATTTTTTTATTATTACAACAATTTAAACAGTGGGAAGCGATGAAAAGGAAAATTGCAAAGTTAATTTCGGCGGCAAATGTTTTCTTTGAATATACTATAAAGTTAGTGACATTCGTTTAGTCCTTGTTAGCTAAACTAAAAATTTCAAAAAAGCCTAAGTTTCTTGTAAACTTAGATATATTTATATTAATTTTCCAGATATCAATTTGGCTTTCATATTAAATGATATGAGCAAATATTTTTATTAATATTATTATTACCCTTACCATTATTATTATTATTATTATTATTATTATTATTATTATTATCAATGATATTATAATAACAGTAATACCAATAACTAATACCATTATTATTATTATTATTATTATTATTATTATTATTATATCAATGATATTATAATAACAGTAATACCAATAACTAATACCCTATTATTATTATTATTGTTCCTATTATTATCATTATACTGTTGTTATTGTTATTGTTGTTATTATTGATATTATTATTCTTTTTTTCGAGATATAACATATCAATAGAAGATCAGTATTAATAGTCAAAACCCAACACGAAGTTTACAACTTATCTATTTAGAAAAAAAAGGAAAACAGTTTTTTTTGTTATCAGTTTACTTCATGACACTCCAGTATAAATAAACAAGTTGATAAGACAATGCTCATAGATTAACTGGTCAAAAGTTCAAAAGCAAAGATTTATCGGGTATTTTCGTACAAAATCCCAATTTCAGATTATCATTTTTATACAAAAACGTAGCACTGCTGTAAAAACTACAATTTTAGGCAACTTTTAACGGCGTTCTTTGTCGGCGACGTAATATTTCCATACAATTCGGCCCCGTATGACTGGTGGTATACTGCCCTAAGAAGCATAAAGACCGCTGGTGACGCTAGTGTTACTTTTACGTGCTAGCAACTAAGTTGAAATTTCTTGCAGGACCATTTCTGTGCTTATCACTTTCTCTTTCCGCTTCCATTAATAACCTCTGTCTGAAATAAAGGTTATTCAATCGTCTTGGACAGGCTAGAGAATTGGTGAATAAGCGTTTCTTAAACAAAGCACGTCAACTAGTGGAGTATATGAGGGTGGATTCTGTTTTTTGAGTTTTAATTTCTTAGGTAAGAATTGTTCAAGTCTTATTTGTTAAACTGCTTTTAAATCTATTCTTGTTTTTAGAACAACTAGATATTCAAAAAAGGTGATGTTTCTTGTCATCTATCTCTTATTTGTTTTGACTGTCACTCTGCTTTTCATCTTTCTTAATCGTAGTTTTTTCCTGCTGGTGCCATCAAATAATGACCTAAAATTATGCATAACTTTCAAACTCTAAATTTTCTTAACTTCTTAAAACATCGACTGTTTAAAGATAAGCTGCGTTTTGTCAGAATGAATGGCGAAGAGAAATTGGTTGCTCAGGTTAAAAAAATAAATCTATCAACAATTCTCAAGCGTCCGCAGCAGATTAAGCGACACAGTCTCAGAACTAGAGGGTCGTGAAATCTTCAAAAGTCTGTAGAATTTTGACAAGCCAAAAGTGACGGTAATTAAAGAAACTTTTGTAAAAATGATAGCATTTCGGCCAGCTATTAGGTTCTAAAATAACAGCAAGTTTTATAAATTAGGAAGTTTTACAGCAGCATTTAGGCAACAAATACCATTTTTGGTTTTAAAGTTGAAAATTTGATACGAAGAGTTATTAGCTGTCATCAGTACCTAACTGTAAGTCGCTTGATGCAGCTATTTGACATGTAAAATGTAGTAAAAAGCATTTATTAATTTCAGTCAGGTTTGTCCTTAACTTTTTCGGACAATCTGAACACTTTGTTTTCTACATGAAGCATTTATGCCAATTGGCATTTTATTACGATTGCCCGCAAATTCAGCAAACAATATCCTTGATAAAGGATAGTAAGTTATACGGAAATATCTGTAGTTTT